TTTTAATCTAGTTCTCTGGACTACTAAGAAAGAGGTGTTAAAACATCCAATTAGATTATGATTTTGTCTCTTTTTCCTTTTGGTCCTGCAATTTTTGTTTCATGAATTTTGAAATTGTTTTATTACATGTATATCTTTAGGATTGTTAAGTCTTCTTGATAAGGTGGATGCTTTTATAATTATGAAATAACACCCTGGTTATGTTCTTTGTCTTGGATTTCTACTTGGTTAATAAAGAAAACCAGGCCAACTTTGCTATAGTTAGCATTTTTACATCGCTTTTTCCACCTGCAATATTTTTATCTTGCTAATTTTTATTTGAAATAAATTTTACTGAAATTTTAGGAGGAATAGATGCATGAGGAAAGCATTTTTAACTTCAGTGCTTAGAGCTTCCTCTTTTCTTGCTTTTGCACAATAATAAGTACATTTTACCTGCATTTTCTACTTTCTTTGTTCTTGAGTTTTTCCTGCACAGTCTGAATTCCACTCTCAGCGTTTTCTCTCAATGCAGAGCTTAGCCCTAAAAGGGAGTTTCTCTTGGGTTAGTTAGTACTAAGAGTTCATATAGCTCAGATGCTTTCAGCCCTTTCAGAAGTTACTGTACATCCCTTCTTCTGTTCCGTGCATTCAAATGTGTAAAACTTCTTCCAGTTTCAGCACAGTTCTCAGGTTAGCCCTGACACTTTTCAGGAATACCTGTTTGTAATTTGGAGATTCTTCTGCTTTTAGGAGAGTTTTCCTGCTGCTTCCCTCTGCTTCTGCCTATACAGATGATGTTACCATGTGGGTTTTATGTTGTGAGTAGTTTTTCCTTAGCTGTTTGTAATTGTGAGGTTTGTTGGGGACATTAGATACCTAGGTCTTTGGAGATATCTCCCTGTGAGCTTTGATTTTTAATATTAGTTGTTCTTTCCATTTTTGTGTGAGATTCCGAGAAATTCCAAAATGATTCTGCTTCTGTAGCTATCGTGTTAGAACTCTGCAGGTACCTCGATTCCATTGCAGAGAAGCATATTCATACTGTCTGATGTTTGCAGGAAAAGAAGTGTGGTGTTGATCTATTTGAGAAAGAATCCAGATCAGAGGGATCTTGATTGTTCAGTGACATCTAGAGTTATCTGTTATTGTAATTAATGCATTTTTAAAAATATAACTGCACTTTTTTTTTTTCATCACCAGGCTGGAGTGCAGTGGTGTGATCTTGGCTCACTGCAACCTCCGCATCCCAGGTTCAAGCAATTCTCTGCCTCAGCCTCCTGAGGAGCTGGGATTACAGGTGCCCAATAACATGCCCAGCTAATGGTTTTTGTATCTTCAGTAGATGTGGGGTTTCACCATCTTGGCCAGGCTGGTCTCAAACTCCTGACCTCCTGATCCACCCACCTCGGCCTCCCAAAGTGTTGGGATTACAGGTGTGAGCCACTGCGCCTGGCCTATAACTGCACATCTTTTGTTTGTTTGTTTGTTTGTTTGTTGAGACAGAGTCTCACTCTGTCACCCAGACTGGAGTGCAGTGGCACAATCTCAGCTCACTGCAACTTCCGCCCCCCGGGTTCAGGTGATTCTCCTGCCTCAGCCTCCTGAGTAGCTGGGATTACAGGCATGCGCCACTGCACCTGGCTAATTTTTGTATTTTTAGTGGAGATAGACTTTCACCGTCTTGTCCAGGCTGGTCTTGAACTCCTGACCTTGTGATCCACCCCCCTCAGCCTCCCAAAGTGCTGGGTTTAAAGGTGTGAGCCACCGCGCCTGGCCTATCACTGCACATCTTTTAACTATTACATTTTCCTGTGCTAGGGTCATTTTGAGGGAGTTTCACAGAGAAGCCTGTGTAGTAAAGAAGGTCCTAGGTAAGATGTCTGTCTTTTTGTAGTAAATCCTGTATTGCTATATGGTGGCTGGAATCCTCCTGGTTTCAGATTTAAATGAAGGAGATAATTCAGAAAAGATGGAATCTAATCTCTACTACCCACCACCCAAATGGGTCTCTTTCATGTTATGCAAGTTTGCATTCGCTGAAGGCTACCTAATGCTGGACAGGATTACATGACCAAAAATGCCTCTGGCATAAACGATACCTTGATTATCTGTAGAAATTATTGTCCTATTTGCTTTTTTATTTTTTTCAAGCATTTACACTTTATTTCAGGGAGAAGGGTGGCAGAGTACAGTTGGGACAGCACTCGTGATCCTCAGATAATTCTTCTGGACACTCGATGTCACACACACTTTTTCACCATGGCCACACAAAAAGAAATAGCTGCCAACATTCGTTTCTTTTCATTGAGACTCATGCCAATAATCAGGTTCACATTGAACTTTAAATCAATTGTTGGATACACATTTGGCTCACAGGGTCATAAAGTTTTGTGCAAGGAACGTTTTTATTGAAAAAAAAATTGCCTCTTACAAAGTTAATACGTATTTTACTACTTAGTTTATAACTTGCAAGGTACTTTAATCTTCATGACAACCTTGAAAAGCTGGCATTGTTTTTCCACTTATAGATGAAAACACTGAGACTCAGAAGTTAAATTACCTGCCTAAATCTATGTGGGTAATTTATGATAGAGCCAAGAAGAAATTACTAAATAATCAGAATAATTATCACTAGTATCGGAAGCCTCTGTGCCTACTGGTAACTAAAAAAATATCTTCAGAGAACATGATCACATGAGAATTTGTTAATACATCAGCCCCAATTGAATTAGTTATAATTTAGAGAATATTTTTAGGAAATATATATTTATATTTATTTAATATGCAGTATAAAATAGTATATATAATATAACATGTACTATAAAATACATTTGTGTTGACACATTCAACAAACACTTTGGCAATTCATTTTTACCTATTGGACTTCAAAACAACTGTTTATTATCTATTTAACAGTGGAAAAGCTGGTGCACAGTGATGTGAAATGGTCTGCTCATATAGCTGGTCGTAGAGTCGGGATTCAATATTCCATGTCTCCTCATTCTAAATCTTATATTCTTTGCTTTTTATACCATGCTTCCTCATGATAAAACTTTCAAAATGTTGCAAGATAGCTGAGTGGATGAACTAGCTATTACAACTTACATACTGCTACCCAAACAGATGGGCTTACCATGTAATAATCAATTTTATGAAGTACAAAGACCAGAGCAATGATGAAAATGAATAAATGGATAGAAAAGACTTGAGACCTAACTTCAGCCTAACAGGTCATACACTCTCTTTAGGTATATAAGGAAAGTGACCAGTTTCCCAAGAAGGCATATGTGTGTTTATGTTATCAGTTTTAGTAAAATATGACCCAGGTATAGCTTTTACACTATTTGTGCTCTCTGCCATCTATTTTCTGGGCAATTCAGACACCATCCAACACATTCCGCCAGACTCATTCTAACATCATTACCGTAGCTGTGGCAGCCAGATCCTCACGTGGCATAGCCACTTCACAGCCTGACCCTTTCTCGGGATCAATTGACTGTACTGTGTCATTTTTCTAGTGGGCTAAAGAGAAAAATATAATACCTGAGATCCACACATTTGATTAAGTCAGTCTTGTCATCTCTGCCTAGAACTTAAAAAGCTGATATCCTAGGAATCTTGCTGCTCAGAGACAGCTGTAGGGAAGTTTAAAATCAGAGCAGCTTCTTCATACATTGGTAACCCACAGCTAAGAGTAGCTGTGAATGTTTGTTTTTGCATGTGATGCTCTGTTACCTTCTGAACAAACTCACCTTAAAGATCTCAGTATTTTTAAAAATTAGCTGGATGTGGTGGGGAGGAGCACTGTAATGCCTGCTACTTGGGAGGCTGAGGCAGGACAATCACTTGAACCGGGAGGTGGAGGTTGCAGTGAGCCAAGATCGTGCCATTGCACTCCAGCCTGGGCGATAGTGTGAGACTCTGTCTCAAACAAACCAACAGACAACTCAGTATTTTAATGCTCATACTGTTTTTCATGGTAGAGATTTGAAATCAGCTATGGCAAGCTGAAAGCACACAGAAATATGTGTAAGTGTGTATGTTAGGGTATGTATGTATGTATAGGTATATATTACATATTCTTAGTTTCTGAGCAAAATCAAGTTGCCTTTGAAATTTCTACTTCAGAGTAGATCAAACTTGAGTTTTTGTGCCTCAGAAATAGTGCTGGCCCTAGGCCAAAGACAGAAAAAAAAAGGACAAGTTTATTTGCATGCCACCCGCTTTGCAGCCTCTCTGGCCTCACTCTAAACCATTCTGTCACTGCAGTGGTATCGACTGTGTCAGTCGGGATCCTTTTCAGGGCATCACCCACGGGACTAGAAGACTTTGGTTAAGTAGTCGGAAACCTACGATTTACTAGTGATACGTTCTTTGTCAAATAACTACTTTGAAACTCTTCTGAGCTCCATCTAGCTGTACTATGAAGCAGCCTCTGAGCAGCACCTTCTCCAGACTGGCCCTGAGCAGTCTGCTGTCACAGTGCTGGCTGCCATATTGGTTCCTACTCAATGGTAGTACCATGGTCTCTGATAGGAGACTGTGTCAGCATCTGCTGAGACTCTTGCTTTTTATCCCCTCAAACAATGTAGGAAGGCGAATAGTATGTAAGGAATATAGTATAAATACGGACTGCCTATTAGTTTGGGAACACATGGTTGATAGTTTATTTGTTTAGAGTTTAGAAAGAAAGTATAGGCCCACTGCTTCCAATATGTCTCATCTTGATGGCAAATTCATTTCTGGAGTACGGCCTGCACATGGTGATTAATTTTGAAAATAGAATTGGACAAGGGGTAGTTATTAGTACATGGAAGATTCTTGGCAGTTGCTACTAACTATATCCACACCTCTTAACATGAAACCGTAAGAGAGTTACTGTTGGTGGTTGAAGAGTTTGAGCCCTCTAGGTAATAATAATTGTGCATGAATGAAATCAGCATTTGGATAGAGAAAGAATATCCCATATTGGAAAGTAATCATGGCTTTTATGTTCTCATGTATGTATGCTTTGACAGCTTTTTGGAGACTACAGCATATTTCTTCATGAAACCAAAACTTGGAGAGAAGGAGGTGTCCCCAAATGTTTTCTTCAGTATCTGGCATGAATTCAGCTCTGACTTTAAAGACTTCTGGAAGAAAGAGAACAAACTTATACTACAAGAGAGGTAGGTATTTTCATTTGCACAATGGCATTTTAAAACTGGTGTTTTATGAGGTGTGGCCCCACTGGGGTTGCCAATTTTTATAGCCTGAATAAAAAATTAAATGTCCCTCAACCTGGGGTAGCAAGTTGAAGAAGATGCTGACATTTGGCAAAATATGGAGTTTTAATAGGAAGAGTCGGGATAGACGCTGGGGCGCTGCAGAGAATAGCTGGGGTGCTGGTTTGCCAGGACCATTGTCTGGTAAAACAACTTCTGTCATGAGGAAACCATGTAAAAGTGACCGTGTAAGAAGGCTTTGCACAACCCTGCTGTGATGGCTGACCCACTCACTTCAAAGACTATAAAGGTCAAAGGAATAGTTTGCTCAAGTCATGGGGTATTGTCAATTTACCATTCGTATTAAAATTTCATCCAGATATCACCAAGAAACGCAGATGTCAATATTTTTTAAAAGACCCTTCATGATTCTTATAGGATTGTGTGACACTCTAAAATAAATCTTTTCAGGAAGGGAAATTTCCCCTCTTCAGTATATGAAATAAAGTCTCTGCGATTGTGAAATGCCGTAGAGGCATATTAAATATTAAGTCATGAAGGTGGCTAGCCCTCCCTGGGCAGCATCCCCCAATAGCTGCATCTAGTAGGAAAATAAAGGGAAACATAATCTATACCATAAAGCAAGCCACAAACCAATTAGTATACTTCCTAACATCACTAACAATGACTTTGCTTCAGATCTTTAGAAAACTTAATCCTGTGGGCTGGGGGCAGTGGCTCATGCCTGTAATCCCAACACTTTGCGAGGCCGAGGCAGGCAGATCACTTGAGGTCAGGAGTTCGAGACCAGACTGGCAAATGTAGTGAAAGCATGTCTTTATTAAAAGTGCAAAAATTAGCCAGGCATTGTGGGAGGCACCCATAATCCCAGCTACTTGGGAGGCTGAGGCAGGAGAATCGCTTGAACCCAGGAAGCAGAGGTAGCAGTGAGCCAAGATTGTGCCACTGTACTCCAGCCTTGGCAAGAGAGCAAGACTCTGAAAAAAAAATAGAAAAAGAAAGAAAAAGAGAAAAGAAAGCTTACATCCTGAGAAACTTTGTTCACAAAATTCCACTGTTTTCTGCTTATTGTCTTCATTTTGGTCTGCTTACACATGATACCATGGCTGTTCACCTGGTTTTCAGTTGTAATTCGATTTTGATACCTCCTTAAATTAGATGAATTAATTGGTAATACTTGTTGAGCCTGTAAACTATGCCAGACTTATACTCAATTCTATAATGAATTACTTAGATTCCATAGCCTGTCATAGAAGAAACTATCCTCAGTGAATCGTAGATGGAAAAGAAATGGTTTGAACAGAAGGAAACCCTTTAAACATCTACTCTAAAGATAATGTGTTTATTCTGCTTCCAAATGCATCCATAGGTGTCAATGTAAACGATGAGCTTTCGGTTAAATTTCTATGTAGGTGGGTAGAAGAGAGATTGCTAAGTGTCTGAATCACTGTTCTTTTCCTTCCGACTAAGTCATATATTAAGTGATATTTTCTTTAAAAAAAAACCTGCTCAGTTTAGAAAATTGTAAAAAAGAAACTTTTTTTTAACTTTAGCACATCACATATAACTTCCCTTCATGCCCTTCCCTAAGTCCCTACAGCCCTCCTTTTACCTCTAATCTAAACCTGGTCCCCTAGTAAAGGGTTTGAAACTCATTCACACTAAGGTTCAAGATGAAGAGTCGTCTTTCCCCTTACGCAATTATTTTCATCGTGTCTAGGATTAGAGTCCTCAGTGAGAATGGGAGTGGTGTGACTTTAAACATCATCAGCAAGGTGGGACTGATGACGCTGTCACTTTAGAGCAGCTGGTCTGACGCGCATCACATAAGCCATCATCGCAGCCAGAGAATGGCCTGGTCCTGTCATGGAGGTCCCAGGCCGAGGATGCTGGACACCCTCCTTGTCGCTGTCTTCTGCTAGCATAGACCAGAATATAAGCTGGAGGGATGCTTCCTCAGCAAAGATGTGGAGAGGGACCAATTCAGATGCATTGCTCCCTAAGCATCCTCACAGTCCCGTCTAATACGCGCCCCGTGACAGCTTCTCACAGTTCCATCCAGCACATGCATGTGATACACTTGTTTCTAGGTGACATTTTCAATAACCACACATTGTTTGCTGGCATTGTATACATCTGACCTACCCAGGATGAGCTTTCCTTCACTCTCGAAGTATCTCATACAATCAGCCAGATCCATGTTTTTTAATGCCTTAGCCTGGGCTTGCCGTGTCCTAGAAATATGCGATGCGCTTCAGGCTCACGCTTGGTGAGTTTACATTCATGGTTGCAGGGCTGCGGACTGGCAGTTTACAAGTGCTCTGTACTGCGGACTTCTAAGCTTTCTATCATTTGCTTTTAATAAAGGGCTAAGAAAGAGCACGTGGCAGGTGAGAGAGTGTCGCTTTGCCCTTTGACTTCCAAAATCCATTACCCTCTTGGCAATGATAAGCAGGCTGCTTGGAAAAGCAAACCATTGGTTGAAATTGTTTGCAGAACAATTCTGTTCCTTTCCTTAGTGAAGGACAAACTATGTACTTTTTAGGAAACAGTGAAAAATGAAAAGGCAAAATTTCTCGAATAAAAATTGATAATTTCAAGACAGCAAAGCATTAAACCAAGCACAGAGCTCTTCTAAGGCTGATGCCCCACCTGGCTGCCCAAGGGCCCACCTATGCCCCACTTCGGTGTAAACTTTATATTTTCCGTAGTTAAATGGAAAAGTATTTCAGAAATGTTTTCAATGCCCTGGGACCTGGATAGGAAATCACAGTGTGGTCATTTAAGAGTGTGAAAGTTCTTGTAGTTACTGTCCGTGTGAGTAGAACCTCCGGGGGGATTTCGAATACTTGAAACAGGATGTGGTTCTCAACCTGTTTCTCACCTCTGCACTCCTAGACCGTTTACCATCAACCTGTTTTCTTCAATGGCTGATCTTACACTGCCTAAGAATATGTCTATTTTATACCATTACTTTTTTTGATATTTACATGTTGGTCTTATTTTTTTATTAGGAGCTACTGAGTGTTGGTCTTTCTCAATGGGCCTAGTGTCCTCATATCTGGTACAGATCTCACTTGTCACAAGCCGTACTGCCTTTCCCCTCTTTGTGTCTCCATAAGTATTTGCTGACTTGACTTGTTGCATCATTACCTCTGGCACAGACATGGAAGTAAAAACTTAGCCTAGTAAAGTAACGAACATGTTTTCTTGCATAACTTGAGTTGATCATTGTAGGTAATAAAAACACTGTTCTGAATACCTCAAAGCAAAAAGGGAGATGGGTGCGGACGGGGTGGGGGGAGAGAGAGATTGATTTTATTTGTTTAGACAGTCAAACCACAGAAGGGGAAGAGTGGGGCTTGCCTGTGGAAGGCCTGAATGCAGAATTCTGCCTGCTGGGAGTCTGTCTATACCTCTCTCTTCCATGATCCTTGTGTCTTTTTAAATGTCCTCTTTCTATTCTTTCTCTTTGTTTTTCCTCTTCTTTCTCTCACCCTATCTTCCCAACCTACCACTCTCTTTTGTAGTTTAGCTTTAATTTCCAAGCCAGGCTGTTATTTAGCTGTCAACCACTGTCATGGCTTATATTCTCATAACCCAGGAGAAGAGAGCAATCTCCATATTCCTCTACAAAAATTCCAGGGAGGAACTCCAAATGAATTGTGTCCATCTCTGGATCAGCCCTGGTGATAGCATGGTTAGCTCAGCAGTTCACACACCTGATCCTGAAGCAAGAGAAGAGTGTTACCATGATTGACAGTTCCCTTTAGAGCAGCGTTTTTGAAGGAAGAACAGTTTTCCCCAAAAAGTAAACAATAATCTACTGGCCTAATTTATTAAGCCTTTAAAAGTAACCCATGTGATTACTAGCAAAATGTCTTAGTGTGGTAGAAATAACCTGAAAGATCGTGTTAATGGTGTCCTTGGAAGTTTTCTTTCTGATAGAATTTTCCTGGGACTAGTTTGGTATGTATAGATTGAAAAATATCATGAAGGTTTTAAACCCTGTATAAATTCTTCTTATTCTATTATTTCTAATTTGTGTCTGATTACAGAGTGATCATAATAACTCTTATTTTCTTTGTCATGATGACTCATATGATTTAGTTTCTGTATTTCTTGAAATAGTGAATTTCTCCACATCCATATTGGACAAGGCTGCTGTCTTTCTAGTCAGCGTGGTTTGGATTTCTAAGTTAGCTCCGCCACTTAACTGGCTCTAAAATCATAAAAAGTCAATTATTTTTCAAGAATCCATTTCCTAATCTATAAAATAGAAATGATAATACTATCTGGCAGTGTTATTGTGTAGAGTAAATGACATGATGTATTTGAAGTATATAGCTCAGTATCCACCTTCTGAATGCCTGTACTGTTTTTCCGTCATTTAATAAAAATAATATCCCAGTCATGGCTCCCGACAAGGTAACATAACATTGATAAGGCAGGTTAAGCATCTTAAGAACGTAGTCTGTAAACACAAAGTATTATTGTGACTCAGTTACATTCTTGGTTAGGTAAAATATCTTGGTTGTGAGTTCAAAAATGCACTTTTGTTTGGAAACGTTCATGTAACCTATCCCTCCGTATTTATACTGGGTGATACAATGGACACAAATCAAGTGACCCATTGGTTTTGTCAGGAGTCAGAAAAACTGTTTTTTCATCTACTTGGAACTCAGCATGTACAATTGTTAATAAGAAATCCTCCTTTTTTGAAAAACGAAATCTAGGCTTGTCATTACTGAACAACACAAAATGTGCAAGTACGTATTTTTTTAAATTTCAATTTGTCTGTATTCACCCGAAGATGGGAAGGGGAGACCAGCATTTATTCTACCAAGCATCTCCCTAAGGCCTCACAGAGCGTAGTTGTAATAGGTAAGGAAATAGGCAGTCTTCATCTCTTAACTTTCAGGAAGGCATTGTCATGATTGTCACCTAGGCACTAACGAGCCCCTGTGGAACTAGGATAACGAGCTGTATTAATTAAAAGAAAGAGGTCCAGATTGATTAAGAAGGTGTGTTCTTTTTCCCCCTGATGAAGAGGCTGTGGTCTAGATCCCAGGATAGGAGGGTTAGGTTTCCAGAACACCGGCACTTCTTACTTTGCTCTATTGCAAGTTGCGCTGTTTTCAGGATGAGCGTGCAGCTATTAACCATGCGAAGCTGTCTGTGGTTATTCACGCGTTCCATATGGAGTCGTACTGGACACTGAGATGCTGTCTGTGATTATTCACGCGTTCCATATGGAGTCGTAGTGGACACTGAGATGCTGTCTGTGATTATTCACGCGTTCCATATGGAGTCGTACTGGACACTGAGATGCTGTCTGTGGTTATTCACCCGTTCCATATGGAGTCGTAGTGGACACTGAGATGCTGTCTGTGATTATTCACGCGTTCCATATGGAGTCATACTGGACACTGAGACGTTCAAGTTCATTAAATGAAGGTCTCCTCTTCTTTGAGCTGGCAGTAGGGCACTGGTTGGCGTATCACACGGGGAGAGGAACCAGGAGTGGGGATTAAGGAATTCTGCCCAGGAGACTTTCGACATGGAACTTGGAGCAAGTGTAGTCTTTTCAGACAGTCCAGGGAGCCTAGGGCTTTCAGGCAGGAAAATCTGGCTCTGGACAGGGGGCCTCCAAACCCCACAGTGTGCATTGTGGCCTATCATGATTTCCTTTTTAGTCAGCCCGAGACATCTTAATTTAATAAATCGTGACATTAGTAAGGGTTGTGTTTAAAATATTGTCTAACTTAATTTACGGGTTTATTTTACTTTGAGACAGGTAGTCTTTGATGATCCAGGAGAAAGGATAGCTACTTCTGTAATTGCACAAGCATGTAGCAGTCAAGTCTTGTTTCAGTGCAGCTGAAATCTGTAATTAGAGGAAAACAGTTTGAATGTTTATCCTTAGAAGGTTATGCGTTACACTGGAGAGCGCCTCATGCCACGTTCACTTTTCTGTTTCTATAATTTGTATTCAAGTGAGCTGTATGTTCAGATTTATGTATGATATTATTGGAGTAAGTTTAAGAAGGAAGAGACCATTTTCAAAGAAATTGAAAATACATCTGAAAAATGCAGATAAGAAACATTTGTTCTTCTGCAGTAATGTATTTGCTGGATACCTACGTGAAACTTCCTCTTGGGCTGCAATGTCGCACTGTTGCATTGCGTGATACATGAATTTGGCCAACCATTCACGCTTTTCACTCAGGCATCAAGTTTTAGAAAAATGACCCATGAAGAAATTCTCTTCTCAGTGCCAACGTTCTGTAACTAAAGGTTTGGCAGGAGAGGTGACAAGACCATGTCAAAATAATGGCCAATGGAGGCTGAGGGGTGCGGAGATTTATCTGTATTCATGAATAGGAGTAACAAATACACATTAGAACAATAAGTAATGCATTCGACAACTATTTATGATATTTATGCCCTACTCTATGCCAGGCAACATTCCTGGCCATGTGGATCTTCTCTCTTCTCATGAGAGAAGCAGACAACCAAAAGTAGGTACATATTTAAGTTCTAAGTTGAAATTAGTGCTATGAGGAAAATGAACAGGGACCATCTTGCAGAATTCAAAGTGGAGGAGGCTCATTTAGAGAGGTTAGCCAGAGGAGGCCTTTCTGAAGAGGCAGCATTGCTGTGGACACCTAAGGAATTCAAGGGAGCAGTCCCATGAAGGGGTGCAGTGGGGGTGATGTGGTGTGTGAGCATCCTGGGCAGAGGATAGGGATGTTCACAGCAATGTGGCGGGAAAGATTGAGCACTTCCCAAGGAAGATTGGGACCGAGCAGTGAATTTGATGAAGCAAGCTGGGACCTGAGCATTCAGGCCCTGGTAGGTCATGGTAAACATGGACTTTTATTATGCATTCAGTAGGAAGCTATCAAAGGGTTTTTTGTTTTTGTTTTTTTTTTGTTTTTTTTTCCAGAGAGAAAATAACCTTATATGATATATGTAATGAGAAGATTATTGGCTAAATGGGTAGTAAATTGGAGAGTGGAGAATGTTAGTAAGAAACCAGTTAGGAAGTTGTTTTAGTGACCTAACTGAGAGCTGGGACTCTGCAGACTGGGGTGAAGGCAGTAGAGATTGTAGAAAGTAGGTGTTTTTGAGATATATTTTGGAGGAAAATATACATAGATTTTCTATTCACAGGTTCCTGGATGAACCAGTTTGGGAATCAGAAAATTGTAAATGTCAGCTCAAATATTGAAAAGCTAATATCCAGTAGGATCCTGGAGATGAAGAAAGCAAGTTTTTCCTTTCCTCTAAAATGCTGTTGGGAAAAAAAAAAAAAAAAAAAAAAAAAAAAAAAAAAAAAAAAAAAACTGAGGTTAAGAAAAGATATGAAACCCCAGATATTAGGATATTTACTTTATACAGTTTAGTTCTTTTTGAAAAATGGAAAACCCTAAGGTGAAGATTAGCTGGGAAAAGGCTTTGCATTTGCTTCTTTATCTTGCCATGTTCCAAGAGATATTTTTAAAACTTTGGGAAATCTTCAGAATCCTCACATTCAAAAACTGAAGAAACACTCAGTAGGTAGTTCTAGATAGAGCACTCCAACAGAGAATCTGGACCAAGAGCTAAGAATGTGGCTTGTCCAAAGATGTTTTTACTTTGGCAAGGATTTGAACATTGTGGCATCTTTTAGTGAGTTTGTAGACACTTGAAGGGTATCTGAGCAATTCTTAACTTCCCTTCAGTATTTGCTAGAAGGGATTTTTGATGTCTTAGCAAAGTTTGCAGTAGAGCTATCTTGGATCAAAATATATTTCCTGGAGTAAAGATATTTAAAGTTACTTTTTAAATTAAAATTTATTTTTTTCTTTTTCTTTTTATTTATTTATTTTTTTAGAAACAGGGTTTCACCATGTTGGTCATGCTGGTCTCAAACTCCTGACCTTGTAATCTGCCTGTCTCGGCCTCCCAAAGTGCTGGGATTACAGACGTGAGCCACTGTGCCCGGCTTAAAGTTACTTTTTTAAAACATAACATCATATGGCTTATGTGGGCTGAAAATAAGATCCTATTCAAGCTAGATGATATTTGTTAGGGGCAATTTTTAATTTCTTTAGGCTACTTTCAAGTGATGTAAAGGTTATAATCGGCTAGAAGAAGTACAGATCTGTTTGATTTGTATAATACCAAATTAACAAATTGTTAGGTTTGTGTGGACTTCTGCTAAAGCCTGGATTTTTAAGATAATCAAAAATGTGAGAAGCCAAAGGCTTCCCCGTGGTTCATTTCCACCATGTCATGCTCTGTGCTAACTCTGACTTCTTTGGGCAAAGGAATTCCACAGCAGTGAATCCCTCCTCCCGTTCGACTTTAGGATTTCAGCATCACACACCACCCCTGTTCCGGTTAGTGGGAGTGAGTGAAGCTTTAGAAAAATGGGAAGTGTTTCTTCTGCACTTAAACATTAGTAACCTTAGGGCAAATGGGTAATCAAAGACTAGTCATGAGAGATAAGGGAAGAGATTGTCTCTACCAAGAGGTGTTGATCCCTGCAGCAGGGTTGAAGCTAGCAACAGTTGTTAGACCAAGACATGTTAGTAATTATTTTATTTGACAGACAGCAATTGGCCCACCTGGTTTTGGCTGCTGGACACTGGTTAAGGTTTAGAAGCCACTGTAATAAGGCATTAAGCTCAGTTTTAAAAGGAATTATTTGTGAAAGCATGTGCTGGGTGTGTATGTATTGGGGGATGTTGGGAGGTTGGGTACCAAGAATGAACATCAGGATTGAGGCACTTTGAGAATATGTATTTCCATATAGGACCTACAAAAAATAAGATAATATTCAGGTGTCTTGGACAGAGAGTGAAAAGAAAACGGTCTTAAAAATCTAAGTAGAATGGCCAATAAGCATATGAAAAGATACTCCACATTCTTAGTCATCGAGGAATGCAAATCAAAACCAAAGTGAAATATACTTCATACTCACTAGGAAGGCTGTCATAAAAAAGACGAACAGGAACGAGTGTTGGAGACGATGAGAATGTATGGAGCTCTTACCATTGCTGGTGGACATGCAAAACCATTTTTGCCATTACTTTTACGGTAAACATCGCAATTACTTTTGTACCAGCCTAATATATGGGGTAGAAACATAGATTAGTTCTTGTCAGGAATTGGAGTCTCGGGCTACAGAGGGAGAAAAATGGAAAATGAATGCTAATTAAGTTTCTCTTGGTGGTACAAAATGTCCTAAACTTAGATGGTTTTTAGAGGAGCGCACAAATCTATGAATGTACTCCAAAAAATTGATGTTCACTTTCAGTGGGTGAATTCTATGGTACGTGAATGATAGCTCAATAAGGCTATTTTAGAAGAAAGAAGTAAGCAGAATTCATGCATTAGAGTTACATTAGAGTTCTAAGCATAAAAATGGGCCACAATTGAACATGCCGACAACCTCCAGTAATCTCTATTTAGAGTGTCCACAGTTTTGAAAAAAATCTAAAGTTCCTCTTCTTCCTGCTTGGCACGACTCCTGCAATTTCCCCTGTACCCAAGTAATTTTGTGTGTCCCCAAGGAAAGCAAGTCTTGTAACTACAAACAGGAGTAATAGCAAAATCAGAATTTCGGAGATAAATCTGCTGCAAAAACCTATTTAAAAAAATTGCACGGCTCATTCCAGAATTGAAAAGATTATTGTCAAATTAGATAATTAGCGATTTGCAGTAGTTTGACTCCAGTGATGAAATAAGTTGGTGCTTTCCCTGGGTAAACCCGCTTCAGGAAATCTAAGTCATATTTTAAATATATACACACATGCAAAAGATACTGTATGTATGCATATATATGCATGTATGTGTTTTGAAAAATTATTCGTCTATTGTACATAAACTTTTTCAAATCTAATCTCCTTGAGAGGAGTCATATTATTTAAGTTTCTTTAATACATTGGATCTTTATGTCTAATGGAGAAGAGATAACTACGTAGAAAAAAAGAATTTGGCCAGGTGCTGTGTGATACACCTGTAACCCCAGCACTTTGGGCGGCTGAGGCAACAAGATTGCTTGAGCCCAGGAGTTCAAGACCAGCCTGGGAAACATAGGGAGACCCCCGTCTCTACAAAAACAAACAAAAATTAGTTTGGCATGGTGGCACACACCTGTGGTCCCAGCTACTTGGGAGGCTGAGACAGGAGAATCACTTGAACATGGGAGGTTGAGGCAGCAGTGAGCCATGATTGCACCACTGCACTCCTGCCTGGCAACAGAGCAAGACCCTGACTCAAAACAACAGTAATTTAATATGATAAAAGGTGGTTAACTGGCAGGGTGTGGTGGCTCGCACCTATAATCCCAGTATTTTGTGAGGCCAAGGCAGGTGAATCACTGGAGCCCAGGAATTGAGACCAGCCTGGGTAACATAGCAAAACCCTGTCTCTATCAAAAAAACAAAACAGTCAGGCATGGTGGTGCCTTTCTGTAGTCCCAGCTACTTGGGGGCCTGAGGTGGGAGGATCACTTGAGTCTGGGCTGTCAAGGGTGCAGTGAACCAAGCTAGTGCCACTGCACTCTAGCCTAGGTGATGAAAGTGAGACCCTGTCAAAAAAAAAAAAAAAAAAAAAAAAACTGGTTGAAGTACATCAAAGGAAAATGAATGTATCTGTCTTTGCTATCGGTAAAGGTTTGCATCTCTCACTTCTGTTTAATGAACACGTCACCCTCTATCCAGAATCCCTACCCACCCTGGTACCCACTTTCCCTTCCTTTCCTGTGACTTTCTGCTTACTGACACTGGACCCCACTCCATAGCCTTCTGACCAAGCCACTGCTTGGGCTTTCTGCTTGCCAGACAAGGTTGGCCTTAGAAACTTGAACCATGGGCAGCTGCTAGGTCATGGAAAGAATTTGGAGTCAGTGGAAAGGAAACTTTTGTTTAAGGCAGACAGTACTAGAGACAGACCTTTGATATGGTACTTATTAGTGAGCAAATACCCAGTGAAGATTAACCTTCTGATGCTAAAGAACTGCTGTAAAATTACAGTGCAGTCTTGGATATTGACATTTCTAGTTCATTCAAGTTTCCATCGATTGAACCACAGTCCTCCTGGCAAGTTAGGATCATGTAGCTTGGGATTCTTCGGATTATGTTAAAAGCTATTGTATACAATTTGTTCCTCCTTAAAGGGACATGTAACTTGTCATCATCATCATTTAAATTATTATGTATAGATACTATTTCTTTTTCCAGATTTATTGAGGCCTAATTGACAAACAAAAATTATATGTATAAGGTTATACAATGTGATGTTTTGATATACATTGTGAAGTGATTATCACAATCAAGCATGAATGTATCCATCAACGTTTTGTGGTGAGAATACTTAAGATCTATTCTCTCAGCCAGTTTCAAGTGTACAATACATAGTATTAATTAGGTACTGTGCTGTACATTAGGTCTTTAGATTTGCTCATTTTATAACTCAGAATTATAAGTATTTTTTGACCAATATCTCCCCATTTCTTATATAATTGTTATAATGTCACATTCAAATTCTAAAATTCTTGGTGTTTTAGGACTTAAGATTTCGGAATTTTTAAGAGTAATAATTCTTAGAGCCAAGTTAATGAAAACAGCATTACACCTAATATAATTCCTAAAATTATGTAAAACGTTTTTGTTTTACAATTTAGGCTAATTACAACTATAGTTTATGAATACATAGACTAGATTATTAATACAACAGAGGTCTGCCTGCACAGTCCCTTTGAATATTGTCTTATATGAAGCCTAGAAGCATTTTTATTTCATTTCATTCTGTTTTGATTTAGTTTGCTTTTGTTTCCTAAGATCTGTAATAAAACACCTAGGATCCCAGATACCTTGAATGTCTTTCTAAGTCTGAAAACTTTATGTAATCAACCTCGTCTGTCATTTTATCTTGTTGTTAATACTAAACATTCTCTAACTAATCTATTAGCATTGTCTCCATCCTCTTCCACCTGCCCCAGCCATGTTCCACCTCCGATTGATTATAGAGGTCGCTCCCTTCCTTCAGGGCTAGCAGAGAGGCTGGCACCCGAGTGTCATGCCCTGTATCTCGATGAAAGAAAGTGCCCCTGGCCAACGTGGCTCCACAGCTCATTGATCTCTCTCTGGAGAAAGGCTGGTATGTCTCCTTGCACATTTCTTTTGCGAATGATTTAAAACTTGATGCTGAGCTCTATAAAGTTCTGTCTGGATAGATGTGCCTTACAGAGGGACAGTCATCCTGAAAGATGCCACTTTTGCCTTTACAAAAAGGGCATACAGACCACTCCTAGAGCAAGCCACTTCCACCGTGACACTGTGTGGAGTTAGCTAATGGTTATACCTGGCAAATAGAAAATGAAGGTTAAGAGGACAACAAAGGTATCCTTGTGCTACCTTGCAGTCAGAAAGAAATTTGGTCTTAATCCCTTGGAGGTATATGCAGATTCAAGTTGTCTGGCTTTTTTTCAGGTCATATGAAAAGTGTTTGTCTTGATGAGGACAGAATTGCAGCTGTGTTGGCTGAGTCTGTAGCTGTTTTGCTGTGAGCAGAATAGAGCCGGCATCATTAAATCAGTACCAACTCTTTTTGGGCTTTACAATGTTCTGTTCCCTCTGGGGATGAGCTGGAAATGAGATAATGGGTGGGTTCCCCAGGAGGAAAAGCTGGTGAGTAGTGTTAGAGAGGCTCACCTGCCTGCTCCCCAGAGGGTCCCCGTCCCCTGAGCTTTACTCACCTCAAGATGACCTTTGTCTCCACTAAATTAGGAGTCACCAGGAGTAGAACTCCTAGAGCAATAGAAGAAGGTGTGCTTCTCAGCCTGGTGTAGTAAAATAGTGGGTAGCAGCACCCAGCAATGAGACATGAAGGAAGTATAGTGTTGGGTTCATTTTTACATACACAGATAATACCTGTCATTAATGATTTAGTATTTTGCTCTGTATATTTCAGCACTATTAATAGTTTTCTTGTTTTGTAATGTGCATCTAAAGTGAGCTGCATTTACCATCACTTTGAAAAAATTAAAAAAAACTTAAAATTCAGTTATATAGCCACTCACTCTTTTTCCAAAGAATATACCGACCACTCATGACTTTGGCATTCATTTAGAATTTCAAATACTAAATAAATTCTTTCACCCAGAAGTGAAAATTGACAGACGAGAATCCTCATTCCTTTAATTAGTCAGAAAAAAAATGTATCAGAGATGAGCCTCTAAAATGAATTGAGCAAGGAAAAAGGACAGAGGTAAAAGTACGAATTCTTTAATCTTTAAAATATTCTAATGATCATACATATTTAGATACTATATATTTTTTTCAAAAATCATATCAGAAATCAAAGTGTATTCCTAGATCTTAAGTTTACAAGATGGGATTAATTTTAAAATGTAACCTCTGGGGTTCAAATTCCTATGGCCTAAGGGTGAACGTTGTTGGAAAGTTTGATAAAATTCTCTTTGGCCACTTCAGATTTTTCCAAGTGTTTGGGGGAAGTAAACCAAAGGAGGCATAAAAAGGAAAAAGTATGAAAAAAGTAGAAAAAATAGTAGAAAAAGTGTGTCATCAGTTAAGAGATTTCATCAGTTAAGGGAATTTCAGTGAGCTGCTGCTCACAGATAACGCAGTAGCTTTGATTTTAAACATCTAACTAGCTGTCGATATTAACAAATTCTTAGATTCATGTGCTGTTTTCAAGACAGAACCACTCATCACTCTATATTGAGGTAGGTACACATTTATGTCCTACAACCTCTGATTAGTTTTCTTAATGTTTTTGTTTAACAAAGGCGGAATAAAGTAGGTAGTAAGAACATGTGGTTACAGGTTAAAAAGACCTGGATTTGATATATATCTCTGATAGTACCTGTGTAACCCTTGACAAATTAATGTACCCTCTGACCTTGTTTCCTCATTTGTAAAATGAAGGTAGTATACACACTCAATTCCTGGAGTAAATTACACTGAGTGTAAAACATTTAGCACACCATGTCACATGTAGATACTTCTCAGTTAATGTTAGTTGCTGCCATTATCATTAATATATTAACGTTGTTTGAAAAGCAATAAACTTAGCATCAGAAAGATTTAGCACTCAATAAATTCATAGAAGCCAAACCCTACATCATTCTGTTCTACCAGCCACCCTTACTTAGGTTTGTATTTCCAGAGCATGAATCAAAGCACTCCCAGTGATAAGCTCTTTGCCCTTGGGCACTTATTTAACCTTAGTCAACTTCAGTTTTCTAATTTAAACAGTCAAGATAACAATCACTAAAGGACATGGTATTGAGGCTGTTCATGATATTAAGTGCAGTAGTTCGACACAGTGAATAGTTCATCACAGGTGCTGACTGTTAGAGTTAGTACCAATGGTGTTTTAGAAATTACTACCATTTTTACAAATGAGCCCAGTGTTTTTGTCTCCATGAGTAAAACAGTGAGGAAGAAGTGGACAGAATGAGGAGGAGCTTGGAAAAGGAAGAGAATGAGAGTGGTTATTAATAAAGCATAGAGATGAGGAAGAATAATGGCGCTTAAAACATGGAAGGCATAGAACACATAGAAGGTAAACATCACTTGAAATAACTTCTCTATGAGAGAGTTTATATGTTTTTGTATTAGCAGCATGATCTGCCTCTTAATTGTTTAAGATATTCTTACCAGGGAACCCTGTGCTTTCTTCATTGTGGATCCGTAACAATCACAGAGTTTTCTCTCTTTTTTTCTCTACCAAATCAACTCGCCCTTGCTGAACATCATTCTGCATTAAGATATGGCTTTGGGGCCAGGAGCTGTGGCTCAAGCCCGTAATCCCAGCAGTTTGGAAGGCTGAGAGGCAGGTGGATCACTTGAGGTCAAGAGTTCAAGACAAGCCTGGCCAACATGGCGAAACCCCATCTCTACTAAAAATACAAAAATTAGTTGGGCATGGTGGTGCCCGCTTGTAATCTCAGCTACCTGGGAGGCTGAGGCATGAAGCTCACTTGAACCCAGGAGGCAGAGTTTGCAGTGAGCTGAGATTACGCCACTGCACTCCAGCCTGGGTGATGAAGTGAGACTCCGTCTCTAAAGAACAAAAAAATATGGCTTCCAGTCCTTTCGATTGTAGATTTTCTATTTGCAGTAGCGTTGTGTTGAGGTCTTTTAAAGGACAAGGATCATGCCTCTTTACACATCTTGTTCTTAGTTAAGCGTTAACCAAAGCTGTCAACATTGCACAGAAACACGGAAGTTGGAGTTAGGGATAGAGAAGGAGCTGAGAGCATTTAAAATAGAAAGTCAGACCCAAGTAGCAGCACTAGAGCACAGGGTATGGAGCCTGAAGTTGCTGGTACGTAATCTTGATGGCAAATTAGAGAAAAAGGTGGAAAAGCTATTGTTTTTTAATGTCATGGCTAGATGAGGCCTTGCTGGAAATGACACAACCATTCAAGAAAGAATACAAACCCAAGTTAGCAAAGTGAAGTTACTCTGAGGAAAGCTTCACTTGGCTCCTGTTTTTGTTTGTTTGTTTGGCTGGTTTTTGCAGTCTCTAATTTTGTTTTTTAATAGTGTAACTTAATTACAGCAAGGAATTTTTTACAGCAAGGAATTTGCAAGTTTTAGATGCAATGTGAATAATGCTTCAATAAGAAGCATTCAGGTCTTTATCCATGTTTTTCCCATTTACCAAACATGAGACCTATACCTATATTGTATTGAAATCAGTGCTAGATGCCACAGTTTAAAAGCTCCCTACTTTATTTACTATGGGCAAAGAAAGTCAAATCACTCACAGCACACTTTGCCACCGATTACAATCCACTAGTGTGTCACAGACATTCAGATGAGAACCAGAGACTCTGCACAACCTCTTAGCTTAAGAGAGGCGAGAACATGGTCATCGGAAAGCTGCTGCGTAACGGTAAAGAGGAAATGTGTTGACTTCCACATAAGATACACTTTACTATTCATTAATAAGTATTAAAAGCAAGTTTCGGCCAGGTGTGGTGGCTCACCCGGGCAGGAGGGTTACTTCAGGCCAGGAGTTCCAGACCAGCCTGGCCAACATATCAAAATTCCCATCTTGACAAAAAAAATAAGTTAAAATTTAGCTGGGTGTGGTGGCACATGCCTGTAGCATGCCACCAGGAGGCACACTACAATTGAGATAACAATTGCTGAAGATGGTCTTGAGGCTGTTAATGATACTAAGTGCCAAAGTACCAACACAATGACCAGCTCGTCACAGTTCTGACTGTTAAAATTAGTACCACTCGTGCTTTAGAAATTACTGCTATTTCTACCAGTTACTCAGGAGGCTGAGGTGGGAGGATCACGTGAGCCTAGGAATTTGAGGTTACAGTGAACTATGATCATGCTGCTGTACTCCAGCCTAGGCAACAGAGCAAGACTCTGTCTATAAAAATAATAGTAATAATAATAATAATAATAAGCTGGGAGCAGTGGCTCACTCCTGTAATCCCAGCACTTTGGGAGGCCAGGGTGGGTGGATCACCTGAGGTCAGGAGTTCGAGATCAGCCTGACCAACAAGGTGAAACCCTGTCTCTACTAAAAATACAAAAATTAGCCAGGCATAATGGCAGGCGCCTATAGTCCCAGCTACTCAGGAAGCTGAGACAGGAGAATTGCTTGAACCCGGGAGGCAGAGGTTGCAGTGAGCCAAGATCACGCCACTGCACTCCAGCCTGGGCTACGGAGTGAGACTCTGTCTCAAAAACTCATCATATCATCATCATCGTCATCATAAAAACAAGTTAAGTTGCATAATGATCTCAGAAAAGCTAAGAGCGACATGTCCATATCCAGATTCTTAATCATTAGTAACTATTTGTCATTTTCTACCTGTTTGTGACTTCTCTAACAGGGATAATGGAGTCTACAAATGTTGGGGATAGTTACTATAATAGATACAGTTTTATTCCTAATTATGTCTAGAGCCATAATCTCTTATCTACAATTTTGAGACCCAAAAACCTCTGAAACCAAAAGTTTATTCGTGTGTTTCTGGCAGATTTATCTGCCAGCGAAACTCGACTTTCATAGCCTTCACTCATTCTACGGTGTGAATGTTCAGATTCTTACAGAAATACGAATGTGTTTGATTGTTCCATGCTATGTTAGACCCTTTAGATAGTGTTATGTTCCATATTCCTGTCTGAAATTGGAAACATTCTGATGAATTCTATAATCCATCTAGCCGTAAGAGTTTGGGGTAAAGTATGACAGAATGAATGGCTGGCTCGCTCAATCCTGTATTCCCCAGCCCTAATTCTGCTTTCCCTAGAACCTCCACACAGATAAATCCAATCCTTTGTTCCATGTAATCAATTTTCTGATGTTTAAGGTTAACTATAAAGATTCTACCAGGTTTTCTATTGTCCTGACATAAATCCCTAGTCCTGTTCATGGTTTTGGAGTCTCTTGGACTTTTCTGATTCATTTAGCTTCCTGCTCAGCCTGGGCCTCATCATCTAATAGTTCAGCTCCACCCGCAGTACTGGTACCATGGTTTGTACAGCAGATGACACCTCTCAACTTCTCACCACTTCCCAGCATTGGCAGGCCAGACCCTTCATACCTCAAGCTCTGGGAAGAATTCTCTTAAGCTGGACTGTTTCAAAATCAGTGTCCCCAACCTAAGGGAGATACTCTAAGAAATATCCTGAGACAAATCCTGCGAAGCATGAGGGGAATGGGAAGTAAAGAGTGTTTCCATTCCAATTTCCATTTTCCTCTTGAATCATTCCCCATAGCGCCACCTGCCACATTTTTCAAACTGTAAGCATCACTTCTGCGTTCTTCACTCTGAACGTGTAACTTGTATGCATGATTCACTGAGGTCCTTCATTATGTACTTATTAAATGTCTCCTCTATACCAGGCAGTGGAGTTGTGAATAAAATCAAATTCCTACCCTGGTGGAGCTTATATTGTAGAAGGAAGGTCTAGACCGTCAGTAAATATATAGTGAAGCTCTGAGGAGAAACAGAGCAGGGCAAAGAGAAGACAGCTGTGGGAGGTGGTTTCTTTTATATGAGCTAGCCAGGCAGTGCCTATGAGATGTGTCTAAGCAGGGATTTGAAGGAGGTGGGGGAATAAGCTAGTGGATATCTGAAGAAAGAACCTTCCAGATGGAGCAAGCGTCACATGCAAAGCTCAAGGAAGGAGCAGTGCCCAACGTGGCTGGAACAGAGCAAGTGAGGGTTGAGAGGTAGAAGATGAATTCAGAGAGGGAGCACTGGGGCCAGACTGTGTAGTCTAGTGGGCTAAGTGAAATCAGGGCTTTAAGAAGGAGGTCATCTGGCTGAGTGCGGTGGATCATGCCTGTAATCTCAGCACTTCGGGAGACCGAGGTGGGTGGATCACAAGGTCAGGAGTTCAAGACCAGCCTGGCCAACCTGGTGAAACCCTGTCTCTACCGAAAGTACAAAAAGTTAGCTGGGCATGGTGGTGCGCACCTGTAATCCCAGCTACTCGGTAAGCCGAGGCGGGAGAATTGCTTGAACGCAGAAGGCCGAGGTTGCAGTGAGCAGAGATCACACGACTGTACTCCAGCCTGGGCAACAAGAGTGAAACTCTGTTGGAAAAAAAAAAGGAAGGCATCAAGGAAGAACTGTGCACCCTTCTGCCAGTGCTAGGGAGAGAAAGATCTGAGGACTGACCCTCTGGATTTGGGATCTTGGGTGAATTAGTGACATCCACAAGAGCAGTCTCTGTTGAGTGGTTAGGGACAGATGTCTGATGAACGGGGAGCACAGAAAGCTGGGGCCGTGACTCCAGGTAACTGTCTTGAGGCATTTGTATGTGGAAAGGGTCCCAATGGAAAGGAAAGCTAGCAGGAAGGCAAAGGGATTAGGGTTTTGTTTTTGTTTGTATTTTTGCTGGTGGGATAAACAGCCTATCTGTCGCTGGATAGAAACGATCCAGGAAAGGAAAACTTGTGACCCTCGTTCTCTCTTCCTTGAGTCATCCCTGACTTGTATCTCCCACATCTTATTCCTTAATTAAGCCATTCTTCCTCTTGCATAATTCCAAATTATTATGATATAAATAGCTTTGTTGTACTCTTTTATGAGTTTGACAGGGAGGAAATTGCATAAACTCTATAAACTAATTTCTATGTTTAATAGCCCTTAAGTTCTCCTACCCCATAGCCTGACCAAAAAAGCCTTACTAAAAAAAAAAAAAAATAGGATACAAATGATCCTTATACACTATCCTGGCTAGAGAAGTGTCAAAAACTACAGTGTTATTGGAACCAATGGAGCTTTACTTTATATCTCACTGGCTGTAATCAAAAACATTTCTGAGCTGAGCCATTTGAGAAAAAAAAAATCACTAAGATTAAGAAAGTATCTTAACACAGGTGGAAATAGTAAAAAGATGTTTCCATGAAAGATGTCAAATGTAATAAACAGCACTATTCTCCTGTAAGAAAAGATGAATTTGGCTGTCAGATACAATTTTATAATAGCTTTGACCATCATGTACAGCAGGAGTATTTTTTTTTTTAACTATCGTTGAGTTTGTGGAATCAGTGATTGTTGTTTTACTATTTTGTTAGGAAACCTAAAACATCTTCAGAAGGTACAGAAAGAATATGGTCATTCTTATAGGACTGAAGGCATATCAAGTGAGCTGCTTTTGTAAATACCGTGAATATCCAAGTCTGACATGGAATTAAAATCATCTCTACTACAAGATGCATAAGAAAACCACACTCCTTTTCTTTCTAAATCAGAGATTTTAAAATATGACTGATGACCAATGTGATTAGAAGCTTTAAAATTCTAACATGTATAAGAACAAAAATATTTCTATTTTC